AACTACACTTAGCTGTAAGTGGCAATACAGTATGAATTATAATTGTCAAATGACATCAATTGATAGTCATCAGTCAATGAGAGCATATAATTTTTTAGCAATACTTTTTCAACTAGGGAGTAGTCTCTACAAAAAGGACTTGTAATAACAAATTTCTAAGGAGAGTAAATATTCTTTGGAAAGACTGAGATGTGAGAAAATTATACCCTGACATAACTTAAGGAACAAAAGTTTTGCAGGATATATGACAACTATTTTATAGTTTCAGAGGACGGCTTAGCTCATTGCAAAAGAAGAAGAGGGAACAAACAGTTGGGGGAAGAATCAGTCCCTCTGTCCCTTGTCCCCTGTCCCTCTGTCCCCTGTCCTTCTGTCTCATCTCTCTGTGTATCTGCATCTCTGTCTCTCTGTGACTCTGTCCCTCTGTCCCCTGTCCCCTGTCCTTCTGTCTCGTCTGTGTGTCTGCATCTCTGTCTCTCTGTGTTTCCATCCCTCTGTCCACTTTGTCCTTGATTTTCTCCAAACACCCCCTGTCTTGACAGAGCCGCCTACATTCTGTGGCCCATGTCTATCCTGGGGAGTCCCTCGAAGCTCCACAGAGGGCCCCATCCCATCCCTGCTGCTGGAGGTCTATTTGGGCCTCCAAATAGTCAAAGGCTGCTCATGTCTCCGAGTGGGCTCAGGTTGTGTTTTCAGGAGCACCTGTTTCTTAACCTGTATCTAAATATGTTGGTTTCCCAAGGATACATCTCTTGGCTCCACTGAAGCCACAATTCTCCTTGGGAGAAATGATGTATCAGTAACTTCAGCTTCCTTGTACATAGTGATGAAACACACATTAGCATTCCCTTTATTGTAAGTTATTTTCTTAGCTAAGGAAACACATTTTATGCTTATTGGAAATTGTCAACTTCATGGCTCACAGACTCCAAGATTTTAATGTGACATGCATCAAAACAGACACAAATATCATCATCATCATCCTTATATTTAAAAAGATCACTTATGTTTAAACGTGGTTCTTCCCTCCAATTCCAGATCTTAGTTAACTATGACCCCAGTTTTGGAGTCACCCAGGTGAGAATTCGGGTGGCCACCTTCCCATTCTCCTTTTCTCCTGGTCACGAGAGCCCTGGATGCTGCCTGCTTTGCCCTCTCCCGCTCCCGTCAGCAATGGGTGCCCCTTTGCAACCACAGCAGTGCTCATCTGTGATGCTGCAAGGCGTCTGGGGCAGTGCTCTCCACACTGAGGGTCTCCCTCCATCAGCCCAACACCTTGGCAGCCGTCACTTTGTTCAAATACAAGAGCGACCATTGCAGTCCTCAGCGATCTCTCCCACCTCAAGTCAATACTAAACTCCCTAAAATGTCATAATCGGATTCCCTACTGCCCCAGACTCCTGAGTGTCAGGCACTGCTCCCGACCAGTCTGTAAATGACCAGCCCCTCGTCAACCCATGGAGGAAGCACAAGTTCGCCGGCAAATCCCCGTCACACCCTTGCGTCCAGAAGAGACACGGTGGAGAATCACCATCTGACATTCAGTATCTGTCACTGGCTGCCAACATGAAACGGAGCTTAGAACTCAGGCTGCAGGCTCTGTATTTCATTCTTTGTTCCAGATTCATAAATATAACGCAGTTTCTTGAAGCTTATTCATTGTTCTTCTCTCTGTTATGATTCTAATAATAGTGGCTACCTGTAAGTTTCTGTTGAATTATAGGCTTGTTAAGATGTAATTCACAGACCACGATCGTCACCATTTTAAAGTATATATTTCAGCATTGTTAGTGTGTTCATAGAGATATCCAGCCATCACTGCTAAATAATTTTACAGCATTTAAATCCTCCTAAAATGAACCTTGGACTCAATAGCAGTCATTCTGCTTCCTGCCTCTCCCCCAAGCCCTGGTGACCACAAGTCTGCTTTCTGCCTCTGTGGATTTTCTGATTACAGACATTTCATGCAAATGGAATCTTAACATTTCATGCAAATAGAATCTTTGGTTTATTTCATTTAAAGTGATGTTTTGATGGTGCATCTATTTTACATTTTTTCATTTCTTTTTATTGCTGATAATAATCTGTTGCATGAATATACCACATTTTGGTTCTTCATTTATCAGTTGTTGAACATTTGATGTGTTTCCTTTTTTTGGTATTATGATCAATACCAAATGTTGCTATGAACATTTGTGTACCAGCTTTTGCATGTGGATATTACCACAGTTCTCCTGAGTATACATTCAGGAGTGAAATAGCTGAATTATGTGGTAACTCTGTTGCAGTTTTGAAGATCTGCCAAACTGTTTTCCAAAGTGGCTGCATTTTCCAGTTCCGTTAGCAATGATTGAAGCTTCTGATATGTTCACCTCTCTCTCTCTCTCGTCAATGTAGTTGTTGTGAAGTGATCTTTTATTGTGGTTTAATTTGCTTTTTCCTAATGACTAATAATTTTGAGCATTTTCAAAGGCTTATGTGTCATTTGTATATCTTTTTAGGAGAACTATCTAGTTTTTGTTCATTTAATTTGCTTGTATTTCTTTTTATCATTGGTTATTAGCATTCTTTATATATTTTTTATACCAGTGCTTTATCAGATTTGTGATTTGCAAATATTTTCTCCCATTCTGTGTGTTGTCTTTACATATACTTGAGGGTGTCTTTTGAAACTGCAAGATAATTTTAAAATTTATTTTGAATATTTACAAAATTGTGATAAAGTCCAAATTATCTGATTTGTCTTTTGTTGCTTGTGCTTTTGGTGTCAGGTCTAAAAAATCATCACCAAATCCGAGGTCACACAGAATATACTCCTATGTTTTCTGCTAAAAGTTTTATAGTTTTAACCTTACTTTTAGACCTATGATTCATTTTGAATTAAATTTGTACATGGTGTGAAGTGGAAATCAAATTACATTCTTTTGCAGGTGGATATCCAGTTGTCCTAGCACCATTTGTTGTAAAGACCATTCTTTCCTCCTCGAATTCCATTGGCACACTTGTCAAAAATCAATTGGCCATAAATATAAGGGCTTATTTCTAGACTTTCAGTTCGATTTCATTGATGTGTGATTCCATCTTTATGCCTCTATCATATTGTTTTCACTACTGTAGCTTGGCGGTGCCACTTTGAAATTTTGAAGCACGAATCCAACAACTTTGTTTAAAATTTTCTTTAAGATTGTTTTTGGTGTTTGTAACTCCTTTTATTTCCATATGAATTTTAGGATTAACTAGTCAATTTCCAGAAGTAAAGCAGCTGAGCTGAAATTTTTGAAAGGGATTTTGTTGAATCTGCAGATCAATTTGCTCTTAACAATGTTAAATTTTCCAATCCATAAGCATAAAATATCATTCTATTTATCTAATTTTTTAAACAGTGTTTTGTAGTTTACAGTAACGAGTCATAACTTTTTTGCTGTATTTCTTCCTATTTTATTCATCGATGCTATTGTAAATGAAATTGCTTTAATTTCATTTTTGAATTTTTTATTGCTAGCATATAGGTCTACAATTGATTTTTGTATATTGTTCATGTACCAAGCAACATTTCTGAAGTCATTTATTTCTTATAACAATGTGTGTGTGTTTCCAGAGATTTCCATATACAAGGTCATGTCATCCACAATAGAGTTTGACTTCTTTCTTCCAATTCGGATGACTTTCATATCATTGCCTTGCCTAATTGCCTCACAGGAACATCGATGACAATGTTAAATAGAAGTTGAGAGTGTGGATGTCCTTGTATTGTTCCTGATCTTAAAAGCAAAGCATTCGGGCTTTCAAATTTAAGTGTGCTATGGGCTTTTCTTAGAAGGATTTTATCAGATTGAGGAAGTTTCCTTCTATGTTTAGCTTGTTCACACTCTTCAAAAGATGTTGGATTTTGTCACACGAATTTTTTGCATCTTTTGAGATTATTATGTTTTTTCTTTATTCTTTTAATACAGTGTATTGCTTTCATTTGTTTCCTTATGTTAGATCAACTGTGCATTCCTGAAGTTAATCCCAATCATTCATGGTGTATAATTCCTTCTTATATGTTGCTGGATTCAATTTGCTAATATTTTTGCAAATATTTATATCTCTAAATATTCATTCAATATTAGATATTAGAGATATCGATTCATAAGGGATATTGATTATTATATTGTGATTTCTCTGTGCAGTTTTGGTACCAGGGTAATACTGGGACTATCAAATGAATGAGTTAAGAATATTCTCTCTTCTTCTGTTTTGGTTTTGGCCTTTTGACATGTTTTGAGTGACTGGCATTAATTCTTCTTTAAATATTTAGTAGAATTCATGCATGAAGCTATCTGGGGCTGGCCTTTTCTTTGTGGAAAGTTTATTGATTACTAATCCAATCTCTTTACTGTTATTGGTCTATTGAGATTTTCTATTTCTTTTGGAGATTTTCAAGAAATTTGTTGACTTCTTTTAGTTTATTGAATTTTTAGCATACAATTATTTATTATATTTGCTTATAATCTTCCTCATTTCCTAAAGTCAGTATTAATGCCCTCTGTTTAATTGCTGATTTTAGTAATTTTAATCTTTATCATTCCTTGGTCTAAGGTTTGTTAAGGTTTGTTAAATTTGCTGAGGTTTTCAAAAACTTTTGGTTTCACCAATTGTTGCTACTGTTGTTTAATTCACTATTTAATTTACCCTCCATTGTGTCTTTATTTCCTTCCTTGTGTCTGCCGCACGTGAGTTGTGTTTATTCTTCTCATTTCTTAAGATTGAAGATTATGTTATCGACTTGAAATATTTCTTTTTTAATACAGGCATTTTCACCATTAAATTTTCTCCTAAGTACTATTTCCCACAAATTTTAGTATCTTGTGTTTGCCTTTTAGTTAGTATTCAGTTATTTTACAATGTTGTTAAATTGTATTCTTGAATTCTTTGGTTATTTGCATTGTTTCACCTGTTTTTGAATTTCCCAAGTTCCTTCCTGGTATTGATTCCTCCTATCATTCCGTTTTGTTCAGGGAGCATAACTCTGGCATGTCAGTCCTCCATTTCCTGAGGCTTCTTCAGGCGTTCCTGTGTGGTCCACCCTGGAGAACGGCTCCCTCTCCTCTCAAGAGGAACGTGGCTGCGGCTGTGCGTGGACCGTTTGGCAGAGGCCCGTCTGCTGGATCCACTGGTTCAAAGGGTTTGTTCCCGTCTGCTTGTTGATCTTCTACCTAGTGGCTCCATCACTCATTCAAGGTGGGACCAGTGAAGTTACCAACATTCACTGTCAGATTGTCTATTTCTCCCTTTAATTCTGTGGGTTTTTACTTTGCGTAGTTTGGGCTCCGGTGTTGGGTGATGTGTGTCCATATTTGTTACGTCTTGGGAGAGATTGACCATTTTGTTTTTATAAAATGTCATTTTGGTGTCTCAAACAACGACTCTGTCTTAAAGTCTATTTTGTCTGCATTCAGCCCCCCCATGTCCCTTTTGGGTATTGTTTACATGGTGTGTCTCTTTCCACCTTTCCCCGTTGGACTCTGACGCGTCTCTGCTGTGGGAGCCCATCGCGCTCTGGCGTTTCTGTTGCGGGAAGCCCATGGCGGCTCTGGCGTCTCTGCTGTGGGAGCCCATCGCGCTCTGGCGTTTCAGTTGCGGGAAGCCCACGGCGGCTCTGGCGTCTCTGCTGTGGGAGCCCATCGCGCTCTGGCGTTTCAGTTGCGGGAAGCCCATCGCGGCTCTGGCGTCTCTCTCTGCTGTGGGAAGCCCATGGCGGCTCTGGCGGCTCTCTCTGCTGTGGGAACCCATGGCGGCTCTGGCGGCTCTGCTGTGGGAAGCCATGCGCTCTGGGTCTCTCTGCTGTGGGAAGCCCATGGCGGCTCTGGCGTCTCTCTCTGCTGTGGGAAGCCTATCGCGCTCTGGCGACTCTCTCTGCTGTGGGAAGCCCATGGCGGCTCTGGCGACTCTCTCTGCTGTGGGAAGCCCATCGCGCTCTGGCGTCTCTCTCTGCTGTGGGAAGCCCATCGCGCTCTGGCGTCTCTCTCTGCTGTGGGGAGCCCATCGCGGCTCTGGCGGCTCTGCTGTGGGAGCCCATCGCGCTCTGGCGTTTCAGTTGCGGGAAGCCCATCGCGGCTCTGGCGTCTCTGCTGTGGGAAGCCCATCGCGGCTCTGGCGTCTCTCTCAGCTGTGGGAAGCCCATGGCGGCTCTGGCGCCTCAGCTGTGGGAAGCCCATCGCGCTCTGGCGGCTCTGCTGTGGGAAGCCCATCGCGCTCTGGCGTCTCTCTCTGCTGTGGGAAGCCCATCGCGCTCTGGCGTCTCTCTCAGCTGTGGGAAGCCCATCGCGGCTCTGGCGGCTCTGCTGTGGGAGCCCATCGCGCTCTGGCGTTTCAGTTGCGGGAAGCCCATCGCGCTCTGGCGTCTCTGCTGTGGGAAGCCCATCGCGCTCTGGCGTCTCTCTCAGCTGTGGGAAGCCCATGGCGGCTCTGGCAGCTCTGGCGTCTCTCTCTGCTGTGGGAACCCATGGCGGCTCTGGCAGCTCTACTGTGGGAAGCCCATCGCGCTCTGGCGGCTCTCTCAGCTGTGGGAAGCCCATGGCGTCTCTGGCGGCTCTGCTGTGGGAACCCATCGCGCTCTGGCGTCTCTGCTGTGGGAAGCCCATCGCGGCTCTGGCGTCTCAGCTGTGGGAAGCCCATCGCGGCTCTGGCGTCTCTGCTGTGGGAAGTCCATCGCGGCTCTGGCGGCTCTCTCAGCTGTGGGAAGCCCATGGCGGCTCTGGCGGCTCTCTCAGCTGCGGGAAGCCCATCGCGGCTCTGGCGTCTCTCTCTGCTGTGGGAAGCCCATCGCGGCTCTGGCGTCTCTGCTGTGGGAAGTCCATCGCGCTCTGGCGTCTCTCTGCTGTGGGAGCCCATCGCGGCTCTGGCGTCTCTGCTGTGGACACCCCATCGCTGGGCTGCGCTGCTGCCTGTTGTGCCCTCCTCTGCTTTCTGGCCGCGATTCCATTGAATGCGATGACTAAAAAGGTGGGATTTGCATCCGCTGTTTTACTAGTTGTTTTCTCTATGGCTTGTATCTGTTTTGTTTCCTTTTTTTTTTTTTTTTTTTTTTGAGACGGAGTCCCACTCTATGGCCCAGGCTGGAGCGCAGGGGCGCGATCTCGTTTCACTGCAAGCTCCACCTCCCGGGTTCAGCCATTCTCCTGCCTCAGCCTCCCCAGTGGCTGGGACTACAGGCGCCGCCACCATGCCAGGCTAGTTTTTTTGTATTTTTTAGTAGAGACGGGGTTTCAGCGTGTTAGCCAGGATGGTCTCGATCTCCTGACCTCATGATCCGCCCGTCTCGGCCTCCCAAAGTGCTGGGATTACAGGCTTGAGCCACCGCGCCCGGCCTGTTTTGTTTCTTTACTCTTCTTTTACTGCCTACTTTTATGTTAAATAGATATTTCATTTATACAATTTTAATATTTTGATATATCTTTTACTCCTTTTTAAGTTATTTGCTTAGTGGTTATTCTAGAGATGTAATATAAATCTTATCTTAAAGCAAACTACTGCAAATTAATACCAAATTAATCTCCATAGTATGCAATAATGTTATTAAACAAAATTGGTTAACAACTTTGGACCAGTCATTGTGTAGTGTCCTGCTCTAGGCCCAGCAGAATAGACCAAGCCAGAATGGAGTCCCTTGTGCTAAGGCCCACATCACCAAACCAACGTTGGAAATGGGCAGTTTTCAAAAAATTGCAGGCCATTGAAATCAACCTGAGTCCACCTAACACAGAAGCCCTCTATTTTTTAACCCTTGAAAGTAGCCTTGAAAAACCCACCCGCCTTCTGTGTTTCATTCCTACTCTCCGGAGGCCCCTTTCATCTGCAGATCCCCTCAGTTCACGGGACACCCCCACTCAGTTCACATGACACCCCCACTCAGTTCACGGGACACTCCTGCTCAGTTCACATGACACCCCCACTCAGTTCACGGGATACCCCTGCTCGGTTCACGGGACACCATCGCTCAGTTCATGGGACACCCCCACTCAGTTCACAGGACACCCCCACTCAATTCATGGGACACCATCGCTCAGTTCATGGGACACCCCCACTCAGTTCACGGGACACCCCCGCTCAGTTCACTGTGCCCATCCTGCTTCCAGGGCCAGGTGTTTCCAAGTCTAGAATCACAAATAGAAGCCAATTCAATCTTTAAACTGATTTGTTGTAATTTTGTCTCTGACACCAAAGCAGCCTGGGGACTTGTCCACAAGGCTGGGCGATGGTGCGCTGGACCGAGGGCCCCTGTGGGGTCTGTGTGGAGGTGACACTGGGTGTGGAGACTTCAGATGACTGTCTACCTGATTTTGCATATTCACGGGGCACAAAAAAGGTTGCAGCTATTTCTGACACCAAGCCAGTCCTGGGTTAGCGACCCCTTGACATGGAGTGTGTGTCAGGAAAGAAGATTCCCGAGGGAAGCCCAGCTCCTGAGAGGGATGAGCTCAGGTTTCCACAGCTGGGCTGGGGGAGCCACAGGTGACCCCGCACTCCCCAGTGCCGCATCTTGGGGGAAGGTCCAGGCTTGCTGAATCCCCACTCCCCTTCCCTGATGGCTGAGGAGGCTCAAAGTGAAGCCCCAGGCTGATGTCTATGGAGACCCCTCCCCCACTCCTGGCAACTCTGAGGGGCCCCTGCTTCTAGGAGCAACAAGGTCGCCAGATGAGCAAGACTTCAGTGAGTGTGTCTGATGAGCACATTCATTCGGCCTGGTTGCCTTCCTTCCAGATGTTTGTTTCGGATTCCCCAGAATTGCAGGTTCATCAGCCCTTGCCTTGTGAAGGATGTCTGTAATTGTTATAGCGTCATGTGAAATGCATTCTGGGATATGCAAGCTGAGAGCAAACGCGGGCAGCTCTGAACCTGCATGCTCACCCCAGTTCCCCGTGTGCCCGCCCCAGTTCTACTAGCAGAGGCTCTCTTTGTCTTAAAATCCCATAGAATGGCATCAAATTACTGGATATAGAAACTATTTCAAAGCAATGCTTCCCACAAAATCAGATCTTCTTGTATGAAGCAATGTTTCATATAAGATGTGTGTGCCTTTTAGATACAGTTTTCTTTCCTTGATGAATGTTGGTCTTTAAAATTAATGATGAGTAAAGAAATTTGCATAAAATCACTCTCTCCATCAGGAGGCAAGCTCAGTGTTTCGATGACATTTATGGGAAAGGAAAGCCAAGGAATCGGGTGGAATTTGATCAGAGGAGGCACTGGGGTTAGGAGGGCATTGCAGACCAAAATGCCCCACGTCAGGATATGAAAGGAGCCAGAACCGTAAATTTGGGAAAGGTGATGAATATCTAATTTGTGTGAGTAGCTTGGGTTTCTCAGATGTCGGTATCGGGGAGGGAGGAGACCTCTTTTAGGGGAGCTTTAAGGAAGTCTGATTAAACAGTCTCCCGAGAAGCTCTGTGGGAGGGCAAAACCGATTATGCTATGATAGATTGCCTTCATCCAAAGCAATCAAACCTCCATAAGTGTCAGCAAAGTGTGTCTAATTTGGCAAATGAAATTCTGACTATAGAGTGTATGTTTCTAAATGTGAAGTATGTCAATTCAAGGACTGCTGTATTCACTGTGTTTTCTTCTCTGATACAGACCTGCATTTAGTTCATGGGTAACAGCCACTGCCTGCTCCATCCTCAGGTAACAGCTGCACCTGCTGCATCCTTAGGTAACAGCCATACCTGCTCCATCCCCAGGTAACAGCCACACCTGCTCCATCCCCAGGTAATAGCCGCACCTGCTCCATCCTCAGGTAATAGCCGCACCTGCTCCATCCTTAGGTAACATCTGCACCTGCTCCATCCCCAGGTAACAGCCGCACCTGCTCCATCCTGAGGTAACAGTCGCACCTGCTTCATCCCCGGGTAGCAGCTGCACCTGCTCCATCCTCAGGTAATAGCCGCACCTGCTCCATCCCCGGGTAACAGCCACACCTGCTCCATCCCCGGGTAACAGCCGCACCTGCTCCATCCCCGGGTAACAGCCGCACCTGCTCCATCCCGAGGTGACAGCCCCACCTGCTTCATCCCCGGGTGACAGCCGCACCTGCTGCATCCCCGGGTAACAGCCGCACCTGCTCCATCCCCGGGTAACAGCCGCACCTGCTCCATCCCCGGGTAACAGCCGCACCTGCTGCATCCCCGGGTAACAGCCGCACCTGCTCCATCCCCGGGTAACAGCCGCACCTGCTCCATCCTGAGGTAACAGCCGCACCTGCTCCATCCCCGGGTAACAGCCACACCTGCTCCATCCTGGGTTTCTTTCTCCATGGCTCCTCATTTGGTTTTCTGTTATTTTTCTCCTTTTCTATTTTTGTTGCTCTGTTGCCTACCAGGAGGTTTGAACTTCCATCTGGGCCTCCTTGCCTTCCTATCAAGTGGCTCTGTGCTCCAAATACCACACCAGAGATTTCAGTTCTCTCACAAAAAAATTAGCATTTACTTTCTATGGGGCACACAGTGATAGCTTCTTGGCTAATTTCTTAGAGTCACACATGTGTGTATTTCTTTTTTTTTTTTTTTTTTTTTTTTGAGACGGAGTCTCGCTCTGTGGCCCAGGCTGGAGCGCAGTGGCTGGATCTCGGCTCACTGCAAGCTCCGCCTACCGGGTTCACGCCATCCTCCTGCCTCAGCCTCCCGAGTAGCTGGGACTACAGGCGCCTGCCACCACGCCCGGCTAATTTTTTTGTATTTTTTAGTAGAGACGGGTTTTCACTGTGTTAGCCAGGATGGTCTCGATCTCCTGACCTCGTGATCCGCCCGTCTCAGCCTCCCAAAGTGCTGGGATTACAGGCTTAAGCCACCGTGCCTGGCCACATGTGTGTATTTCTAACTCTATGATCAAAAGCCCATCAATCATCTTCCAGGCTGGAATTGGAATTGGAAACCCCACTGAGTCTGTGGCAGTGAACCCAGGTTTCCCCAGTGGCTGAGCAGCCACAACTGGCCCTCGCCAGAGGGAGTTTGTATCAGTTGGTTTTCATGCTGCTGAGAAAGACACACCTGAGACTGGACAATTTACAAAACAAAGAGGCTTATTGGACTTACAGTTCGACATGACTGGGGAGGCCTCACAATCCTGGCGGAAGGTGAAAGACACATTTCACATGGAAGCAGACAAGAGAAGAGAGCTTGTGCAGGGAAACTCTGCCTTATAAAGCCATCAGATCTCATGAGACCATCATGAGAACAGCACAGGAAAGACCTACCCATGTGATTCAATCACCTCCCACTGGGTCCCTCCCACAACACGTGGGAATTGTGGGAGCTGCAGTTCAAGATGAGATTTGGGTGGGGACACGGACAAACCATGTCAGGGTTTAAATGGGACCCGGGTTTCTGCAGCAGCAGGGGTGGTAACAGCAGCTGGGGTCTGGAACGACCCTGGAATGCAGCATGGTGGGGGCCGGGGGACCTCAGGGTTGGGGTTCCTGATATGGCCGTTCTCCTAATCCCCAAATCACTCCTGGAGCTCAGTCGAGAACCCACCCTCTCATATTGTGGGTTCTCAGCCCCTTGTGTGACTCTCTGCCTAGACACCTGGAGGGGTCGCTGCCCCAGCTGCCCCACCCAACAGGATGCTGTCCCCACCAAGGTGACGCACTGTCCCAGGTGGATTTCTTTGTCCTTTCCCTTCATCCCCGTTCTCTGCGTCCCTTGCTCACCGCTCTGGCCCTGGAGAAGGTTCTGATGTGATTTATGGGTGTCTCTACCTGGGAGGGTGGACACCTGCATGTGTGCACATCTGTTATTCTCGTTTATGTTAATCACACTCTTCTTTTAGGTGCCATTCCATTTACCATTATTTTTAAATTCTGTAGGCGTTGCTGTTTTCATCCTTCCTTTATTCCTGAGTGTCAAGTGGATGCTTCTTTGGTGACTCCAAAACTCTTTCTGTGCATGCCCTGGTGAAGGATGCAGGTAGGCTTCAGGACCCTGATGGGTTTCAGGACCCTGTCTCCACCCACAGGTGGGGACGACCACCCCGATGCAAGGTCTCTTATGAGAACAAGTGATTGGAGTGAAAAAAAATTGTATCAGATGGTTTTAAACAAGCAAGAAAGGTTTTATTCAAGACCACTGTGGTAAGGGAGAACGCCCAACTCCCCTGCAGCACATGGCAGGAGGGCTGAGGAGCCTGAGGGGCCACCAAGCAGGTGGGAGAGCCCTGGAGGTCTCAGCAGGGGGCCGGCCCCCTTACCCTCCTCAGTGGAGTCAGGCTCCTGCCCTCCCACAGGGCCTGGGGGCTGGGCCCTTTCCTCCTCTATGCCTTGTTTTCCAAGGCAGCTCCCAGGCCTGGAGAAGGACATTTCCTGGGCTGTGGAACTAGCAAGCGGCTGGAAGAAGATTTACACCTGGAAGAGGCAGAGAGAGTTGACAATTTTACATTTTCCAAAGTCAATGCTCTGGACAGGGGAGGTTGACACCGAGTCAGGAAGAAATCTGCCTGGAGTGAGCGAAGCCTGGGGAAGGGAAGGCCGCCTCGGCCTGGGTGTGGCCGGCAGCCGACAGCCGAGCTATTGGTGCAGAGGTGTCCTGACCACAGTGCTCCAGGATCACTGCTCTAGGTCCTCCGGCAGGGTCCAGGGTTCCTGTGTCACCAGCCAGGGGCCCGACAGCTGGCTGAAGCCCTCACTTTCCTCCACATGCCTGGCTTGGCTGGGAGGCCACACCCGAGAGGCCACTGTTTGAGCCCCTCATCCATGCTGTCCTCACTGAGCAGCGGAAGCTCAGTGGCTGTGCTGGGGAGTGGGCACCACCCCAGTGACCCCCAGTGACCCTCACGATGCTCCACACACGCACAGGCATGTCTGCAGGGCTGCTGGGCCCTCCACAGGCATATGACTGGCAGGAGCTAACACCTCCGCTCTGCCCAGGTGCACCCAGGGCAATGCTCTTCATCCTGATGACAGTGAGCCCAGCCTGCTGCTGACATGACACGAGGAAGCTTCAGTGCAGAGGCTGAAGGACCCATACCAGGGCTCCAGCAGCTCACGGTGGGTGGACAGGTCACATGCCAAGGCTCCAGCAGCTCACGGTGGGTGGACAGGTCACATGCCATGGCTCCAGCAGCTCACGGTGGGGGGACAGGTCACACGCCAGGGCCTGGATCTGGGCCTGAGCAGAGCCGCTGTGGACCAGACAGAAGCGGCCACCACAGCCAAACCAGATTCCCAGATCTCGGCCGACGCCCTTGAAATCTGGGTCACAGAGCCTTTCTCACACGGTTTTCATTTTGCCCGGCAAGGATCGAGTTTCTTAGTCTACAAACGTACCAGGGCTCACTTCAAGGCCACAATCCATGAACACGGCTTTTGGGTTTTCTTTATGGGGAGTTCATAAAATCACATGCCGTCTTCTCGATCGTAATAAGACACGAACAAGCCTAGCGGACATCATGGGAGAGTTGAGGTGACCTGCTGTGCAAAGTGCTGCCTCAAGTGTGTGGATTCCCTTAGCGAGAGGCAGCAGCCGCCCAGCCCTGGGAGCCCCGGCCCAGGTTCAAAGCCCTCCATTTCTTTTCAGTGTCTTCTGGATCCGAAGGAGGGGGTCCCATGAAGTACAGACAGCCTCTGTGTCTCCATAGCAGGGAGAAGAAGCCCTCTTAATTGTCCCTTCCTGCAAATCCCCTCTCCTGATCCCAAAACTGCAACAGTGGAACCTTCTGGAAGGTGGATTTCCAAGGATTGTCCTTATCCTAAAACTGCATTCAGGAAAGACACGTTGACATGACTGGGGGCAGAGACGTGTGATGCAAATGAAGGTGTCTCTTTCATGTGACCTGAAAACTGAATTATTCATTAAAGGAATGAAATTGAATATTTCCACCAGCGTCAACTATCACTTTGCCTCAGCTTTCACGCAACACTCTCGTGAGTACCTCTTAGTAATCAATTTCTACACCTTTAGAATGTGATGAGTGTTACATGTAGTTTACAACATCCCAAACCCGACACTCAGTGAAACCACAAGGCTTCGTTAGAGGGAATATCGGTTTTTAAAAGGTATAGACTATTGGATCCATAAATAAAAGAAAAAGGAATTGCAATTAGTTGGAAATGCTGAAAAGAATGTACTGTTCATTTAGTTTTGAAAACAGCTCTATTTGGCCGGGCGCGGTGGCTCACGCCTGTAATCCCAGCACTTTGGGAGGCCGAGGCGGGCGGATCACAAGGTCAGGAGATCAAGACCACGGTGAAACCCCGTCTCTACTAAAAATACAAAAAAATTAGCCGGGCGCGGTTGTGGGCGCCTGTAGTCCCAGCTACTCAGGAGGCTGAGGCAGGAGAATGGCGTGAACCCGGGAGGCGGAGCTTGCAGTGAGCCGAGATCCGGCCGCTGTACTCCAGCCTGGGCGACAGAGTGAGACTCCATCTCAAAGAAAAAAAAAAGAAAAAAGAAAACAGCTCTATTTAACGAGTGTTCATAGCTGAAAGCACCGATAAATCGGGTGGAATCACAGGCTCTGTCCTCAGGCCCAGCCCACTGCCGGCTGCCGATTCCCGGGAGTGTTCACACCTCCCTGGTAAATCACAGGTGGAATCACAGGCTCTGTCCTCGGGCCCAACCCGCTGCCGGCTGCTGGTTCCCGGGAGTGTTCACACCTCGCTGGTAAATCACAGGTGGAATCACAGGCTCTGTCCTCAGACCCAACCCGCTGCCGGCTGCTGGTTCCCGGGAGTGTTCACACCTCACTCCCGCAGGGGAGGGTGCCCCCTAGTGTGCACCTCACTTTGTCTTCGCCTTTCAGAACTGTGCTATGCATTCTAATAAGTCTTGTTTAAATGAAAACTTTATCAGAATGGAAAGACCACAAAACGTGTAGTCATACCTGAAATTCCAGTGCCGTTGACACTGCCAGACATTGGCTGGGCAAACTTGAGCAATTTATTTAACCTTTCTACTCTGAATTTTTAAACTGCAAATTGACCATAATAACCCTGGTTTCATGAAGTTTCCTAGGGATGCTGAAGACAAATGAGCCCAGTGAGACCCAGATGAAAGGAAGAAAGAGAAAAAGAGAGAGAGAGAGAATGAGGGCAGGGGAGAGCGAAGGGCAGAGATGCAGCCTCATTCTCACTCCTAAACGAGCTCAGTTATTCTGTGGCCTCTCAGCAACGTGGCTGCTTTCTCCTCTGCAGTGCCCCCAAGGTGGGCTTTGCGGTCTGTGTTATTTCCACCTCGCCGAGAAATGGGCTCCTCCTCAGACCTCAGGCCCTGGGCCACTCTCCCTTTAACCAACACCATGAGATCTTTGCTCCCTCCTGGGCCCAACCAATGATGGTATTACCAAAGGCATTCATGTAAAATGCAAAGTAAAGAAGACAAGGTTGTGAGTTAAACCTTGGAGCATTCTGATTCCGAAGATCTGGAGTCCATATCATTGTAACAGACAGGACTCAGACTCAGTTTTAAATCACAGGCAAGAGTTTTGGGAACAAGAAATAAGCACAGAAAATGGGCAGGAGGACGGTGGATGAAACCAATGGGCTGATCATGGTTCCAGGATGGTCTTGCCGTGGAGGTGACGGGGTGAGCGCTGCAGTGCAGGGCTGGGGGTGTCACAGAAACGGGTGCCCCAGGTACGGCGTTGTCCAGGAAGGATGAGAAACCTGAGAACAGCTGGGTGGGAGCAGAGTCCACCAGCTGCACGGGGGTGGGGAGAGGTGCCCATCAGGGCCTGAGAGCAGCAAGGCTGGGGAGGAACCCTAATCCCTCATCTGCATGAGATGTGGGGCCTGCCGGAGCCCCATAGAGCTTGGAACGGAGCTGGGGAGGAGCATTTGCCAGGCCTCCCGTCCCTTCCTGCTGCCCACTGGGATTGCTCCCGAAGGAAGAAGAACCCATCAAGTCCTTGTAAATGTGCTGGGGAGAGAACCCCTGACAGCGCCTGGTGCTCGATCCTGGGGAGCCACTGTCTACACTGTCTATCCTCTGCCCTGTCTCGGGTGACCCTGACTCTCGGGTTGTTCTGGTACCATGAAGTTTCTGGGCTCGGGTCCATGGCACCTGGAAAATGTCACATAAGTTAAATGGTCTTCAAAGCCCAAGACGAGATGTTCTATGCACCCCTCAGAGACCCTATGAGGCAGGAAGGACAGTGGGGCCATGAGGGTCCCCAGCTTCTCCAGCTCGACCTGTGCCTGGAAATTACTCCCTGAAATCGTGAGCAGAGCTGGATGCTGGGTCAGTTCTGTGATCTGTGGGACTCTACCCTTAATGGCTTCATTTATTTACAGGGATCTAACCTTATATTTATCTATGTAAAGAAAGAAATTGGTCATTTCTTAGATTCACCTGCGCATGAGATATCTTTTTAAGAATATTTTCCTAGCCATTAAAGAACATAAGTCGATTTTCTTTTTTCATTTCCCTATTGCTATGTTACAAAAGGTAATATTCTATACTTTTTGTATTAAAGGACTTCAAATTACTGATACTCTAGATGACTTCTCAAGTCTTTGCCATAGTCTGAATGAAGAATGTGAGCCCTAGGTTAAAAAGATCAACAATTAAATCTCAGGGTGTGTGTTCACCAGGAGGCCTAGTGTTATTTTCTTGTTGGCCGTTTGAGATTGGCTGAGAGGGAAGATCTCGTGCTGTGTTCTCAGCACAGGCACAGGTGTAAGGAAGCCTCCAGGAGGTGCAGAATTCCTCGACTGCTTAACTCAGTGATGGTTTCACGGGTGTTTGCTCAGGTCAAGCCTCACCGAAGTGCACTCATTAAATGTGTGCAGCTCTTTGTGTGGCAATTATACCTCAAAAATACTGAAACACTTTTACACTTGAAATAATCGAAGTGACATTTCAATCTAAAAGTATACAAAGCTATTGCCTACATAGCTGATTTTTCCATGAGAGTCTCGTTTACAAGAGAAACACAATTATGAAGTCAGTGTCCTTTAATTGTAAATGGTAACGGAAGAAGCGTGAGGTCCTGTCACGTCAGGGCTTACTCTCCCGCGTGTTTATTCCGTGGCTAACCATATGGTAGATCTGCAGTGATTCGGGAAGATGAATTATCTTCGACACAGAAAAGTTCAGTCCTCTGGCATGTATGAATCCTGGTGTGGTTTTTACACAACGTTCTGCGGGGATGCGTGGGGAGAAGCTGTGACGACAGTATCGGGATTTGTTCATGCTTCGTTCATCCCAGAGGCCGGCAACTGCCCGCGCAGTCACTGAGCCTCCAGCGCTGAGCACCGGACACTCCACCCTCCCCGAGGCACGTGTGCGGATGCAGGTGAGACGCCCAGACCAGGAGGGTGTGCGTGGGGGATCGGGCTCCAGAGAACCTGAGATGAGATTCAACCATGTGGACGGGCTGGTGGAGGTGGTGGCTCCTGGGCTGGGGAGGTGTAAAGAAGAATCCTGGTGACCCTGGCCCCGAAAAACTGCCGTGTACATTTAGTAGAAGACGGTCCATGAAAACAGACTCTCAGAAGCAAAGAGGGGCCTCGACGGGACCCCACTCCCACGTGCAGTGCCAGGTCTTACTCTCTCCACCCCCACAGGGAGTGTCCTCACCTCTCTGGTCTTCCTTCCCTTGCCTGGTTTGCAATTGTCCACTCAATTCCTGCAGCCCCAAACAGTCTTTTTGATGTGGACTATTTTGAGCTTGACATAAATGAATTAACGAGCAGTGTGTGTTTTTGTTGCTTCGTCCACTCACACACTGTCTGAGACACACTCATGTCTCCGGAGGTCCCTCACTCGCCTTGTGCTGGCTGACTCCCCTGAGGGATTTGCTGGGACGTCCTTATCCATCTGCCGTGAACGAGCATTTGGATCTCTTCCCACTCGGGTTTGTGCGAACAGTGACACCAGGTGCATCTGAAATTCGCCTTGTGCCCAGGTGCACGCGGGGCGTGTGCAGCTCCCTGACCCCTCTGCAGTGGGAGAGCAATGAGGCCCAGGGCGTAGCAGGGAGGTGTGGGTGTGGGGCCAGGCTGGGGTGGGGGAGAGGACACTGGATTCTGGGCTTTATCTGAGGGCTGAGCAGCAGGCGTCATGGCAGATCGGATCTGGTGTTGAACTGACCCGACTCTCCCAGAGAACTGATGTTCATGGTTTCTCTGAATAACAGAAATGGATCCTTGTGGTCTTGAAACTTGAGAAAGTGACATTTGTCTTATTTGAGTTCTTTTCTCAGGAAACTGACCATCAGGCCTCCCGGGTAGTGTGAAGGAACAGAGACTCACCAGATCACGGCATCTGGACGGTGAGACGCCAAACCCCTCACTCATCATGAGTGCCTGACCAGCCACCTGCCTCCTCCTGACCAACTCCTCTTCCTCACTCTCCCTAATTCCTGTTTTCCTTACACATAGTCACATTTCTTCCCTGCTATATAGTCAGGAAGATGCATTTGGGGCTGACGTCCCAACTCCTGGCCTGCAGACCCTGATGCATGCCTTCTTCATTGGCAGTAACCATCGTCTCAGTGACTGGCTTTCTGTGTGCTGAGCAGTAGGATCTGGAACAAACCCCTGCATTTTGGGAACAGGGAGAGCAGCCTCAGCAGGTCCCCAGCCCTGAGCGCAGACATGACCACCAGGGACCCACACCAGCCCCCAAAGGTGAGTGTGGACAAGAAGAAAAGGGTCCTGAGGACCCAGCCAGGAGAATTCCTGCAACGTCACGAAGAATCACGGCCACCCGGCCCAAGCCACCCTTGAAGGGCAGCTGCAAGATTCAGCTCATTTTTCTTCTTTCCTGGACGTCTTCAAATCTCCTTCAACACAACCTTGTGTGATCCTGAGATTCCATCAAGGTGTGCACTGTTTTACTATATTGCTTTACTCTGCCAGCTATCTGGAGAAATGCAACCTCATCAGCAGAAATTATTTCCTCCCTGCCGCTTTTTAAATCTGTTATTTCCTACAGCCAGGTACTGAGCCCTTCAATTGAGGTCTAAACCCTCTGCCCTCTCCCTCCAGGGTCACCAAGCCGGTGGTTTCAGTTCCATGCTCCCAGGCAGATTGTGTCAACTCAAAGTCCAGCGCGCTTATGAAATACTTTTTGTGTTTTTTTTCTTAATTTTAGGAGGGTTTTTTTAAATGTTTTTGTTTCATGGAGGTGACACCCTCCGTCTTTGACTTGTGGGCGCCTTCCTCCTTCAGTCTGCGTGCACTGAAGCCAGTGTTTGCTGTACAGCCTCTCAGCCGCAGCCCACAGTGAGGTGCAGGTGCTCAGCCATCGCCCCAGAGAGCGCCTCCATTCACCCCTCCACCCGTAGCCCCTCGAAACCACTGCCCTGCTCGCGGACATGGTAGCACTGTGTTCTCCAAGATGCCACGTGGCAGCATCCTTCGGCCTGTGCCCACTGAAACTAGCTTCCTTCACCAGGCATGTGGCCTGGGAGACCTGGGGCATTTGGGGTGCATGTTTCCACTGCTGGTTGGTGCCCCCTGTGTGGAAGCATCCGCGTTGGTTCACGCCTTCTCCTGCCGATGGACGTTTTGTTTTCTTTCAGTTATTGGCAATGAGCAATGAGGCCTAAACACTTGAGTGCAGGATTGTGTGTGCACGTTTAAGCTTTCTCTTGGGGGAAATTTTAGGAGTGGGGTTGCTGGATGACGTGGTAAGAATGTGCTTAACTTAATAAGAAACTCCTGGACCACGTCCAGCCCGGCGGGACCCCTCCCATTCCCACTGCCGTTTGTGAGGGTCCCAGTTCCTCTGCATCGTCACTAGAAGCTGGGTTGGTCCATGGTTTTTGTCTGTTTTTAGTCATTTTAATAGATTTGCAGAGCTACTGTTGACTGGCATTTCTCCAGCATCTCTATCATGTTGAGCCTCTTTCTCGGGCAATATGCCCTCCTTAAACCTTCTTTGATGAGGCCTCCATTCAAATATCTGCCCTCTCTTTAATATTGGGGTTTTTACTTTCTTATGGTTAAGTTTTGATCGTTCTTCATATATTCTGTGTGCCAGTATGTTGTGAGATGTGTGATTCACGAATATTTTTTTCTAGACCACAGTTTGTGTTTCATTCTCTTTAGATTTTTATATTGCTTTATAGAATTATAATTTTAAATTTATGACTAAATTTAATCTGTCAGTCTTTTATGAATCATGCTTTTGGTGTCATGTCTAAGAACTTTTCACCTAACCCCAGGTCATACAAATTTTCCCCTGTGTTTTTATCTAACGGTTTTATAGCGTTATATTCTCCATTTAGGCCTGTGATAAATGTTGAGTAACATTTGTGTCAGCCATGGCCATACCTTTTTCCGTCTCTGACAGTATCTTGGGTGTTTGCAGCTCCCCGTGCCCCGGGCAGTTCCCGTCTTCTTGGTCCACCCTTCCTGTGAGTTTCAGGGCATGTCTTAGTGCAGATGCTGTCCTGGTCCATCGGGGGTCCTGTGGGCTTTTCCGTGTGGGAAAGTCGGGACTGTGATGTTGACGGGATGCTGTGAGTCAGGGGGAGGTTCTGACGGGGTTTCCGTGTAGGAGAGAGAGGTGTTTGGTTTTCCGGATGGGGCAGACTTGAGAGAGGACAAACCTGAGAAATGCCACCAAGGAGAAGCCCAGGCAGAGGAGGTCTCGGGGCTGCCCAGTCGTGTGGGTGCCAAACGTGGATGTGTCAGTGGCCATGCCAGGAGGTAAACCCTCAACCAAGGGCCTCTGGGTGTCCAAGGCCAAGTCTTGTTCAAGAGGTGTGTTCAGCTGAGCCAACCATGGCAGAAATGCACACTGGAGATCCCATGGTTCCTCTATTTAAATCCCCTGCTAATCCCACCTGACTCAGAGAAGGAGCCAAGTCCTCACAGCAGCCTGCAATCCTCACCTGACTCAGCCTCCTCTCGGCTCTGATTCTCGGTACCTTTCTACTCCTCTTTGTCTCCTCTCCCACCAGAGAGGAGATCCTGCACATTCATCCTGGTGGATTCAAACCCATCTTTGCCACACAGATAGTTACCAGAATGAATAGGTATAATCTATAAAGAGTCCTCTCGAAAAACAAAAAGGACAGGTCAGGCATGGTGGCTCATGCCCGTAATCCCAGCACTTTGGGAGGCTGAGGCAGGAGGATCACCTGAGGTCAGGAGTTTGAGATCAGCCTGGACAATATGAAGAAACCCCATGTCTAATAAAAATACAAAAATTAGCTGGGTGTTGTGGTGTGTACCTGTAATCCCAGCTACTCGGGAGGCTGAGGCAGGAGAATCACTTGAACCCAGAAGATGGAGGTTGCAGCGAGCTGAGATTGCACCACTGCACTCCAGCCTGGGTGACAGAGTGAGACTCTGTCTCAAAAACATAATAATAGTAATAATAAAAGAAAAAGGCAAAAATTCAAACAACTTAACAGAAACTGGGCAAAAGAGCTGAACCAGCCCGCCACAGAAGAGGAAATGTGGAGGAATGGCTAATGAAAACACAAAGAGGGGCTCAGCCTAACCGGGGAAGATATCACGTGACACTCACCAGACTGGCAAAAATCCCATAACCCAAACAATGCCAGTGTTGGGGAGAATGGAGAGTAGCAGGAACACCATGCACTGCTAAGAACGGTTGTGAAATATATTTTTGTGATGCTTGTATATGAAAGGGTGTGTGCTGTGGGTTACGAGGAAAATTACATTTCTTACCTGGGATGAAATTTTAAATCTTGAAAGCTACTGACCAGAAGAAACTTGCATTGTGTACCAAAAAAAAAAAAAAAAAAAAATGCCGAAGAACGTTCCCAGCAAAACACAGTCCTCAGGGCCCCAACCTGGCCAAACTCTCATCCACAGGAAGATGAAGACATTTCCCGTGCTCCACTCAGACGACGGGAGATCACGCAGCATAAAAATCAACCATGTCAGTGTGGGTGGGTCTTGGGGGAGAATGGAGACGGGAGATCATGCGGTAATGAAAATGAACCATGTCAGTGTGGGTGGGTCTCAGGGGAGAATGGAGATGGGAGATCACACAGTATGAAAAAGAACCTTGTCAGTGTGGGTGGGTCTCAGGGAGAGAAAGGAGACAGGAGATCACACAGCATGAAAATGAACCATGTCAGTGTGGGTGGGTCTCGGGGGAGAATGGAGATGGGAGATCACACAGCATGAAAATGAACCATGTCAGTGTGGGTGGGTCTCAGGGGAGAATGGAGACCGGAGATCACGCAGCAATGAAAATGAACCACGTCAGTGTGGGTGGGTCTCAGGGGAGAATGGAGGACAGAAACAGGCATCGAGCAGATGCTCAGAGCCATGCAGCCTAGGAGCAGCCACGCAGGAGAATTTCCTCACATCAGAGTTCAAAACTCCAGCCGAGGCAACAGAGCAAGACCCTGCCTCAAAAAGACAATGGAAAGTTCAAAAACTAAATGGCATATTTTTTGGGATGTACACATACACGGTGAAAGAAACATACTGTGAAGAAAAGTACAGGAAGAACAAAGACGAAAGCAGGAAGTGATTCCCTCTGTAGGAGAAGGGAAGGGACTGGGATTGAGGCAGGGCCTCCAGGGAGCATCCAAAGTTATGTCTCTTCACATTCTATTCCCTAAACCTGGCGGAGATCCTCTGTGTCCAATGTGTCAATATTCTTTATACCTTACCCATATTGTATCAATGCTTCATTTCTATTCAATATTTAGAAGACAGTTATAAACAAGATATGCATTCAATAGCAAGATGGCCGATGAACATCAGGAAGGAACATCCATGAGGTTCCATCCACAGAACCTCACCATGGATACACTTGTGATCAAGGGCCTGGTCTCCCTTCATGACACAGTCAGAGAGCAGTGGCTGCACCATCATAGCAGGGGAGTAGGACCAGCTGGGACAGGGTCCTTCTGTAACACCTGCTGCATCGTCAGGCTGTGCGAACGGACTCAGCTGCCAGAACTCACAGAACATCAGTATCAGCACCGAAACCTCACAGGAAAAACGGTAAGTTCTGGTTCTCCATTAATAGTAACTCTCAGATTAATCTCGGTCATCCATCGCTTCTCCAAGAAATAACTTTTTATAGCTTTGCATGGGTCTATTTTTCAATTTATATTTCATTTTACTAACTGATTGAAAAGATATATATTGTGTGGTGTGTGATTTTGTCTGTCAGGATAATCATAGTTTAATTTGTATTACTATTATACCAATATCATTTAATTTTTTTTAACCTTTTCAATTCCCATGGGTATTAATCAGGATCTTTCTGTCTCGTGAGACAGAAAACAAATCCAAACTGTGTAAGAGAAAAAGGAATGTATTGATCACGAGGACTGAGAAGCTCCCAGGCTTAACTTGCTTGGGATTCAGCTACATGTACAGTTTCAAGTGGGGTCCTGTAACTCTCTCTCTCTCTCTCTCTCTTCTTCCCCAACATCGGCTCCATGTTTAGCTCCATGAACTTCAGACTTAAACAGCATCACTGGCTCCTGACCAGGATTCCAGTTCCACGAACCTCAAACTAGAACACCAGCCCGGCTTCTCCGCAGGTCTCCAGTTCTAAAACCTAAGACATCAGTGGCAGTACCTACTCCTCCCGGGGGATCCAGCTCCGGGACCCTCAGACTTGAACAGCAGCACCAGCTCCTCTGCAGATCTCCAGCTCCACCACCCTCAACTAGAAACACCAACACCGGCTCCTCCGCAGGTCTCCAGCTCCACAGCCTAAGACGTCAGAGGCAGCACTGGCTCCTCCCGTAGATTCCAGCTCTGGGACCCTCAGATTTGAACCGCAGGGTCACCTCCTCCCTGGATCTCCAGCTGCACGACTCTCAAACTAGAACATCAGCTCCTCCCAGGGTCTCCAGCTCTACAACTGTCAAACTAGAACACCATCAGCTCCTCTCTGGGTCTCCAACTGCATGACCCTCAAACTAGAAAAACAGCAGCAAACTGAAAAAACTCCCTGGGTTTTTCTAGTTTGAGAGTCATGCCCAGCTGGACGCCCAGGAAGGAGCTGATTTTACTCTAGTTTGAGCATCATGGAGCTGGACACCCAGGGAGGAGCTGGTGTTTTTCTAGTGAGGGTCATGGAGCTGGACACCCTGGGGTTGGGCGGGGGGGCAGTGTTTTTCTAGTTTGAGGTCATTTGAGGGTCAGGTGCACGACCCTCACACTAGAAAAACACCACAGCTCCTCCCCGGATCTCCAGCTCCACAACCCACAAACTAGAACTTCAGCAGCTCCTCCCCTGGTCTCCAGCTCCACGACCCTCAAACTAGGAAAAAATCAGCTCCTCCCTGTGTCTCCAGCTCCGTGACCCTCTGATCAGAAAAACATGAACTCCTACCTGGGTCTCCGGCTGCAGGAGCCTCAAACTAGAACATCAGCTCATCCCCAGGTCTCCAGCTCCATGACCCTCAGACTTAAACAAGAGCAGCACTAGCTCCTCCCGGGGTCTCCAGCTCCACGATGCTTGAAATAGGAAAACATCAGCTCCTCCCAGTGTCTCCAGCTTCAGGACCCTCTGATCAGAAAAACATCAGCTCTCTTATGGGTCTTCAGCTACAGGAGCCTCAAATTAGAATAACATCAGCTCCCCCCGGGTCTGCAGCTGCACAACTCACAACCTAGAACAACGTCGGCTTCTCTCCAGGTCTCCAGCTGCTGGACACTCAAACTAGAACATCGGCCCCTCCCTGGATCTCCAGCTCCATGACCTTTTGATCAGAAAAACATGACCCGCTACCTGAGTCCCCAGACGCAGGAGCCTCAAACTAGAACATCGTCAGCTCCTCCCCAGGTCTCCAGCTGCTGGACACTCAAACTGGAACATCAGCTCCTCTCCAGCTGTATGACACTCATACAGAAAAATGCCAGCTCCTCCCGGGTTCTACAGCTGCACGACCCTCCAACCAAAAAACACCTGCTCCTCAAAGGGTCTCCAGCTGCACGGCCCTCAAACTGGAACATCAGCTCCTCTCCAGTTGCAGGACACTCATACTAGAAAAATGCCAGCTCCTCCCAGGTTCTACAGCTGCACGACCCACAAACTAAAGAAACCCCAGCTCCTCTCTGGGTCTGCAGCTGCACGAACCTCAAACTAGGTCACCTCTCCCCCTGGATCTCCAGCTCCACGACCCTCACAGAGGAACAGCCACACCGGCTCCTTCCCTGTCTTCAGCTCCACAACCTAAGACCTCAGTGGCAGCACCAGCTCCTCCGTGGACCTCCAGCTCAACGACTCTTAGACTTAAAAGGCAGCGTCGGCTCCTCCCCAAGGTTCCAGCTCCACCACCCTCAGATTTGAACAGCGGTAGCACCAGCTCCTGTCCGGGTCTTCAGCCCCACAACCCTCCCTGCACAATCCCTTCTCGTGAAATTCAGCAGTCAAGAACACTGCAGCGGAAGTAAATAAATAATGTTTGTTGTCAAATCAATGTCTCTTTTACGTTCATGAGTTAACTTTTCTACTTTCCATTAACCTTGCAATCTACTTATGTCCAATGTGAGGTAGAACCACAACATTTGAAATGACGTTTAAAAACTTAGTAATATTTTTTAATATGATCATCACACAGCTGTAGACGCGATCTTATTTCTCTCTGCCTGTGCAGAAGTCTTATGAAAATTCAAACTATGGATTTACTTTGTCGAGATTCCCAGAATACACATTAATCCCAAATGTTACTCCCCTCCTTAAAATCTTTTAACATGTTCCCATCACCTGAGCATAAATGCCAGCTCCCATTCATAGCCCACAGTGTCCAGCACGGCCCTGCCCTCTGCCCTGGTCTGTGGACTCCCCTCTTAAATGCCAGCTCCCATCCACAGGCTTCAGTGCCCAGCACGGCCCTGCCTTCTGCCCTGGCCTATGATTTCCACTCTGGTGCCCAGCCCGGCCCTCCTCTCCCCTCTGCCCTGGCTTATGGTCTCCCCACTTAAATGCCAGCTCCCATCCACAGCCCACAGTGCCCTCATGGCCCTGCCCTCTGCTCTGGTCTAAGGTCTCTCCCCTCTGTTGTTCCCTTCCTGCCGGACAGGCCTCTGTCAGTTCCTCAAACCACACAGGCTCAGGCCTGACTCTGGGCCTTTGCCCTGCTGTGCCCTCTGCCTGGGGTGCCTTTCCTGGGCTCCGCATCCTCCTCAGCTCGCTCAACTCCAGCCTGCTGGTCGCCCCTCAGGTAGATGAACACACGGTGTCCTCCTGCCCCACCGGCCTTCGCACAGGCTCTTCTCTGTGCCAGACACACTCCCCCGTCACCATCAGGGTTTACTCGCTACACACCATTCATCCTTGGAGTCCCTGCTGAAATATCGCTCCCTGCCCACCCCCCTCACTGGGACTTAACCTTGGTTCGGTTGCCAACCCCCGTCTCCTGACTCCAGGAAGCCAGATGCTATCCTAGCACTCGGAACGTCCCCACTGACACATTTTTCACACCGGTGATCACCGTGTTAGGTTGGTGCAGACGTCATCGCGGTTTTTGCCGTTACCATCACCAGCTCCTCCCACTTTTTTTTTTTTGCCATTACTTTTAATGACTGCTGCACCAACCTATTAGAATCATTTATATTCATCCACCCATCATCTGCCTTCCCCTCTAGAAAGGAAGCTCCATGAGAACAGAGGCCGAATCTACTCAAATCACTCCAGCTTCCCCGCACACTGCTTGTCATAATCATTTCCCGACTGACTGACAGAGAAATGCCGTCACTGTTGCTGGGATGAGGCACACGACAAGCCCCTTTGAAAGCCACTGTCATGGACAGTTAGCATTTGCTCTTCACTCCTGCACCTGTGGCGTGGCTGGGCTTAGGCTGATCTAGTCTGGGCTTGACTCCAGGCTGAGCGTGGGAACCATGTGTGCTCCACACGCCTCTCATCCTGCAGCCAGAGCCGCTGTTCCCTGGGGCACGCGCATCTCGTGGGGAAAATCAAGAGCCTCAGAGGGCAGGCCTGGCAGTGCCCGCACGTTCCAGGCTCCTGCTTGTGCCGTGTCCGTGCAAATCTCGTTGGCAGAAGCAAGTCACCCAGCCACGAGCAACACCTGTGGGATGGATAAGTCCATCCACCCTCCCTCAGGCCCTGGCTAGGCTGCAGCTGCGAGCTGTGTCATACTCTTACCGGGGGAGTGAAAAATTGAGGCCCAACATTAAATCACCCATGGCAAGAAATGTCGGCCTCTGTGTCCCCACGCTGGAATCATTCTTCACCAGCGGGTTTGCCTGAGCTAACTTTGCAATGGTGTCTGCAGGTTTAGGCTAATGCTGTTCCCCGTGGAGGACAGAGAAGCCTCAATCGGCCTCCATCTGTTGGGAAGAACAAGACATTAGCTTGGCGCAAAACAACCACAAGCCCCAGGTGGCCCACGCCCCGTGAGACAGGAGAGGAGCCGAGAACTGTGGAAGCTCAGGGAAGCTTGTGTCCCCAGCCCCTCCCCTGTGTCCCCAGCCCCTCCCCTGCATACCCAGTCCCTCCCTGCAAGCTCCCATCTCTGCTTCCTTCCTTCCTTCCTTCTTTCTTTTTACTTTCTTTTTTCTTGAGACAGGGTCTGGCTCTATCACCCAGGCTGGAGTGCAATGGTGTGATCTTGGCTCACTGCAACCTTCACCTTCTGAGCTCAAGCAATCCTCCCTCCTCAGCCTCCCCAGTGGCTGGGACTACAGGCACACGCCGCCACACCCAGATAAACTTTTTTTTTTTTTTTTTTTTTTTTTTTGGAGAGACAGGATTTTGCCATGTTGCCCAGGCTGGTCCTAAACTCCTGAGCTCAAGCAATCCTCCCACCTCAGCCTCCCAAAGTGTTGGGATTACAGGCATGAGCCACCAAGTCCAGCCTGCTTTATTTTTCTTCATAGTGCTTGGAACCTCCCTTTTTTTGTGTGTGTGGATGGAGTCTCACTCTGTTGTCAAGGCTGGAGTGCAGTGGTGTGATCTCGGCTCACTGCAACCTCCACCTCCCAGGTTCAAGCAGTTCTCCTGCCTCAGCCTTCTGAGTACCTGGAACTAGAGGCGCCCACCACCACACCCGGCTACACCTGGATCTCAGAGACTTCTGGCCTCCAGAACTGTGAGACAACAGGTTCCTGCTGTGGAAGCCCTCAGTCCCCTGCGGGGGGGTGGGGCAGCCCTGGTGGGGGTCTGTGTGGCCCAGCCCTGGAGCCTGCAGTGGGGTGGGGCAGCCCTGGCGGGGGTCCACGTGGCCCAGCCCTGGAGCCTGCAGTGGGGTGGGGCAGCCCTGGCGGGGGTCTGTGTGGCCCAGCCCTGGAGCCTGCGGTGGGGTGGGGCAGCCCTGGCGGGGGTCCGCATGGCCCAGCCTGAGGCGGTGAAGGAGGCTCCCCTGGGATGCAGCCGTCATCCCTGTTTCAAAGCAGTTTTCTGTTTTGCTTTAATCAAATCTTAGTCCAACAATGGACGGGAATGTTGTAGATGTGTTAAAAGTAGAGCGTGACTGACACTGAAGACGGCTTCTCACTCCCCCTAAAACTGCGATTCTGAGGTTAAAATTCGGTATAAAACGTTCTACTGCCCCAGGACGATCTCAGAAGAGGAAGGTCATTTTAATGCAATGTTGGCAGGAGAGTTGGAATGATTTAGATGAGAAAGCTACATAATAAAAAAATATTTCACGAAGAGCTCAGTGTAAGAAAAATGGAAATGGAAGGGCCAGGAGCAGCAGCTCATGCCTGTAATCCCAGCACTGTGGGAGGCCTAGGCGGGCGGATCATGAGGTCACCGATCGAGTCCACCCTGGCCAACATGGTGAAACCCCGATTCCACTAAAAATACAAAAAATTAGCGTGGTGGCAGGGGTGCCTTTAACTCTGGCTACTTGGGAGGCCGAGGCAGGAGAATCACTTGGATCCGGGAGGCAGAGGTTGCAGTGAGCTGAGATCGTGCCACTGCACTCCAGCCTGGGCAATGGTGCGAGACTCTATCTCAAAAAAAAAAAAAAAAGAAAGAAAAAGAAAGAGAAAGATGGAAATGGAGCTGTAACTAGCCATGTGGGAGCCATGAAGAGCAAAACTGAAAACCACCCACTTCTTATGCATTCCTCACTTTCAACAGAAATTTTTAAAATCATCATTTATCAACACCCTGGCCGCTGTTCCTCGCCACCGCACCTCCCCACACAGCCCTTCACAGAGTCCAAGCTCTCTTCAGTGCCGCCACCCCGAACCTGGAGCTTGAAGAAGGACGGTGGCAGCCTGTGACCTCTGAAAACACGGCGCCCGCCCAGACTCTCCACAGAAAGACCCCCTGTCCCACCATTACCATCGCTGGGAAGCTGTTGGTCAACAGGATGAAGACGTCAGTCTAGCATTCCATCGCCTCGTTCACACCCAAAGTCACCTGGACGTGGGGCATGGGCGTGGAGCTGGGATTATCCACTCCAGCATGACCTCTGCATGGCATCCAAGGACAAAATCTCAAAAGTAGAAAACACCAGCTATTAAGAATAAAAGTAAACCATATGGAAGAAGTTGCTAGTAATTTCTACCCTCTACAGCACCAGTGACACGGACGGCTGCTTTCATTTGCCTTGGTTTGGGTTGGGTTCTGTTCACTAGGTGGTCGTTTTTATTCATTGACTTTCCCCAGCCCTGTGGGCCTCCTGCCCAGGGAAGGGGCCGCAGTGAATTAAGCATCTGTTCGCCCCGTACCAACCTTGCACCCACAGTACATTCTCAGCAAGAAAAGAACCCAGACTGGAAGCCGCCCTCTCTCTGAGCCGGTCGGGACCTGAAACCCAGCCTCCTGCCTCAGTTTGCTGGGCTGGACGGAGCTCCTGGCATTGTCGGCTTCTGAGGTGACCCCAGCACCTTGGTGTAGACTTTCTGCCTAGTGGCTTGTGTTTTAAAGCATTTCGTTATTATCCACTGGAAGGTTTAAATAGATAACTATACATTTTCTTTTAGAAATGTAAACATGGGTTTTGAGTATGAAAGAGACTCCATGGAAATGTTGGTTACAGAACTTAAAACACAGGGCCTGTGATCATGAAGAAAACACACCCCACGTAGGAACCTGTGGTCGTCGCATCAGAGAACGCGCTGCCCCCGCAGGAAACCGTGGTCATAACATGAGGAAACCCGCAGCCCCCATGCAGCTGACGCTCTTCCTTTCCGTTGGCATCAGCACTGGTGTCCGGCGTCTCTGACGAGTCTCAGCAAACCACAGCCCCAAGTCCTGTCGGGAGGTTGTTTTATCCCATAATTGTCTACCTGGTTGATATTTTCATAAGTAGACAATCTTGACTGTGATCTTAACTTGCTACCTGAGTAGGTAACTAGTAAAAACTTACAGTAACGTAAAAACCTGTGTGCATCCTTGGAGTGAAGAAATCTTCTATTTACGAAGTGTTTGCCATGCATCTGTTTTTATACAGGTACACATGCCTTAAAATGTTCTAATTCACAGAAAAAAAAAAC